AATTAAAAAAAAAAAAAAAAAAAAAAGAAGATTAAAAGTTGACCTTTGTGATCTAAATTTACTAATAATAAAGTAAAACATGGGGATCAATTGTGTAACTTTTTTCCTAGAGCAAAAATGTAGAAGTAAACATTTTTGTAGAGATGTAACAGTTATCCAGCTAATATCTGATTCCTGGCAATTGTACGACTGAAATTTTATATTGAAATGATGTACATTATGGTGTGAATGTTTAAAAAATTTTTATCATTGATATATTTTTTAGAAATGTAGAATATTTCTATAGAGAGATATCTGGTACTATATTTCTAAAAAATAAATTAATTGTAATAAAAGTTTTTAAGGTATTCACACCATGATATATATTTTAATATAAATTTTTGGCTGCATATATTGTCAGAAACCAGATACTAACCGGATATTCAATATATTCCTAATTTTTTGTATATATATGTGTATGTTATATGTATGTGCATACATATACTTTTTATAAAATTTATTTATATTTAAAGTAAACTTGTTTGTCGTTTCAATAAAAATTATAATAGCTTTTTCTTTTCTTGTTATTCATTACAGTTGGACATAAAACGAACAATGCGTATGTTCGAGGATGCAACGAGACTTGTATCTATAGTGGATATGTTTAGCGATAATGAATCTTTTGATGAAGTAGCCACAGAGAATATCAAGTATTTTTTGTTACCGGCTTTATTGGGCAAGCTTACCAATCAATTATGCACTACTGATGACAGAATGCATTTGGTTAAAGTAGCAGAAGTCTATTTTGTAGATTTTTTAAAGCGGTTAAAAGCATATAATCTGGTAACAGATGTTGAAATACCAGAAATTAGTTCAATCGATGAGAAAAAGGAAGCAGGAGATAATGAAAATACATCAGAATCAAGAATGTTAGAGAATATGGTTAGGTATTTTAATCATGTGATTGTTGTAAACTGTTACAGACTACAATTATTTTAATTCTGCTTATATTTAGGTGATTCGTAGAAATACGAAGTTACAAAGATATCAACAGGAAAAGGATTTGGAATCTCGTTTGGATACTTTGAAGAAGAACTTCGATAATCCTAACATTGATGATGAATTAAAGAGGGAATATTTTATTACTCTTATAAAATTATATGCAGTTCAAATCGTTGATGACTTAAATTTATTGAAAAGAGAAGAAGCGATTTTAGAGAATATGAAGGAAATGAAACCGATGCATACTTTGACTTCTGAAATACAAAAAAAGCAAAAATTACCAGTTCCAAAACTACAACCTATTATCATTACACGTGATGAATTACAAAAGAAAGTTTTTGGAGCAGGCTATCCAAGTTTACCAGTATTAACGGTACAAGAGTTTTACGAGCAAAGGGTCAAAGATGGAGAGTAAGTAGAGATTATGGTAGTAAAAAATTTGAGATTATTAAGAGTCATTTACAATAAGAGTAATATGGTATAGTAAACCATGAGAAATCAACCAATCACAGTTTAAAGTCAGAAGAATAATCAATTATGATTGGTCATTTCCTCATAGCTTACGGCTTATAGTATACAATATATAATAATTATTCCCATTGTAGACAGTTCATCCAATTGAAAATGTATATTGTATAAATTATACCATGTGTTATATAATTTAACATGTATTTATTATTTTATATTTGTCATAATGAAGTAAAAATTAATATCAAATATAAAATTAATATGAAATGTTCGAAAATTCGACAAAAAATATATTTAAAAATATTGGATATTTTTCATCAAAATCATATATTTATTTTTTACTAATATAGAAATAATATAGCTGCAAGTTTACTTTTTCTTTTTGAAAAGAGACTTTATGATTACAAACTATTTTTATAAATTAAAGTACTACATTAATTATAGCTTTTATAAATATAATACTTATTTACTTTCAAATTAAGAAAAAAATAAGTAAAACATAAGCCAAACTTTTGAATAGTGTCATTTCATTGAAATATTCTTATATATAATTTCAAACTTTTAGTTAGTAATATATATTCAATAAGCATTTTTTTTTAATTAAACCTTGAAATTGATAAGAAAATTTATACTAACAAAGAATTATAATATTATCAGCTGGCCCAATCCATCACAACATAATGCAACAAATTCTCGGTGTTTACAAAATATGGCGAATAAAAGTGTAATCGGAAATAATGAAGATAGTGAAACCGTTTTAAAGGAAGAGAAAGAAGAAAAAGACGATCCTGAATATCTCGAACGACAGCGAGCAATGGATGAATATAAAGACACACATCGTCGTGGGTGGGGTAATCGTGCTAATAGAAGTTAAATATCTAAAAATAAAATGGATATAATTCTATCCTCAGAATGTGTTTTTTTTTTATGTCTTTGTTTATACTTTATATTCTAATTACATTTGATTGAAATAAAATCAAGTCGAGAATCAGTCTTAAAATAGTAAAATAAGTAATGAAAGTGAAAATCTTAATCTCTATAACTCCTGGCTTTTGTTCATTACTGTTTCAGATTGTAACATAAAAAATGATAAAACTAAAAATACTTGTAAAATACATATAACAGAATTTAAATAAAATAGTAATAAATAAATAGTAGTTTTTAGACCATTATTCATAGTCAGTTTTGCTTGAAGACTGTCATTAGATGGTTTTGCGATTAACTTTAGCGACAAGCCAACTCATTTACACCTCATTTATGATGCATTCTGTCAAACTCTATGATATATTGTCTTGTAGAAGAAATATTTTGCAATAAAACTTGTTTCGGCTTATATTTTATGAAGTTACGAAGCCTATTAAAAATTCAAGTTTTGCGATTTCATTCTTAAGACTCCAGAGTAGTGAAGCCATAGGCCTGTTCTTTTTACCGAACTGGTGCACAGAGTGCAATAAGTTGAAGTGAAACAGATATACGTTTGTTTCATTTCAACTTATTGCACTGTATGTACAGTTCAGACAGTGCAGGCAAAAAGAACAAGCCTCATGTTTGAATCGTGACGTCAGAGATAATTCAAGGTAAAACCAATATCATCATATGATGAATAATTTATGCTACGTGTTACACGCATAATACGCATGAAAAATCATTTTATCCTTGTTTAATACTCTGCAAACAACAAGGATAACACTTTGACTATAAAGCACAGATGTCTATACTTGTGCTATAAAGAGACAACATGATGCGCATTATGCGTGCAACGGAACGCAGCCTTGGTATCCTACAATTTTTGTATAAAAACATTTTTTTTTCGAAAACGAAATCATATTTCCAAGATAACCCAATCTCATTGTAACACCATGTATTACTGATTTTTCGATCACAGGACATCAGTTATAGTTACTGGGATTTTTATGAACGAAAAAACTTGTGCATTTATATTAGAAACATTAATAAAACAATGAAGACTCAATACACGAGCCGAAACATGTAATGCGCAGAATAGATATGTATCTTTATTAAATCTTTATTAATTACAGTTTTTAAAATTTATCATATATGGAAACTTTTATTTATAATTGTCGGTAACTCTCGAATTGCCTTTCATTTTATCCTTTTATTGTTTTGACATCGAGAGCTTTGTTCATATTTATATAAAACAATGTATTTAGATTTCCTTTATATACAGCATACCTAATACAAAAAAGTATGAAGAGAGAGAGAGAGAGAGAGAGAGAGAGAGAGAGCGCGCGCGCGCGCGCGCACGCACGTGTCCCATCGTTGCCATGCTATCATATAGGTATCAAAATATAGATAATTTCACTTTATTCTTCCTTTGGTTTTGTTCGGTAGCGATACTTTTTTCGGAAGCTCTTAAATTAGTAAGTTCCTTTTGTTTTTCATTATACTTCATTGCAATGTTATTGTAAATAACACTACCCTTGGCATGTTTTGTTAACGATTCTTTGAGTTTCGATGATTCTCTTTCTAAGCGATTTATGTGTTCTCCAATTTGAAAACTAGCTACATTTAGGTTTCTATTGGATTCTGTTCTCAATTTATCTATGCTTTGTAAACTATTAGCTGTATTTTCTTTAGCTGCACAAGAATAATTAACAATATTTAAATATAATATGCATCATAATCATATTCAATAAACATTGTTCTTTCTTCAACTTACGTTTATCACTTAACGTTTTATTTATAAAATTAAACACATTATTATCTTCTTTTTGTTTTTCTTTTTGATACTGTTTTTCTCTTTGCTGCTCTAATTTCTGTTGTTGTTTATACATTTTACGTTCCGCAGAAAACAAATCTTTATCATTACCAGCAAATTCACGTAATTCCATGCAGTAATCTGAAAAAATTCAACAAATTAATGCTGTATTTTGCATGATCAAAGAAACTTAAACAAACCTAATGATTTTCCTGCTGGCAAAACTTGAGTTTCAACAGGTTCTATTCTACCATCATTTCGTTTTCCAAGACCAGTACCTATCACATAACCCATTTGCATCATTAATTTGCTACCAATACCACGTGTGTGTTTTTCCCAATTTCCTAAAGATTCATTTGTTTTTAATGTCAAAAGAGATTTGTGAACTAATTGATTATTTATGAACGAATTAGCTTGTGATTCATTATCAACATTATTCGCATCTTCATCATCGCTATTGCTATCATTAAATGTATTTGACATTTCTAAATTTGTGTCATCTGTAAACAATCAATACTTGTGTTATTTATAAACAATTTTTTTTCAAAAATATAAATAATATGTATGTAATTATTTTTTAACACTTTTTACCTAAAGGTAAAAGATCTTGTAAACTGGCTTCTACAATTTTACCACTTAATTCAAACTTTACTCTGTATTCATCTCCATTCTTTTCAGGTAATTTTAAAACTATGGATCTATACCACATATTTTTTTGTTTAGTTAACACCTTGCTTCCTATTTTGATGTTACGAAAATCAGGCTCTCTGCAAAACCAAAGATAAATCATTAATATAAATTTAAATCATTAATATAAATATTTTAATCAGAAAAAATTACTTGTATTCCTGTAGGCTTGAGAACGGCACAATTTTACCATGACAATAATGGCAATTTTCATCAGAAAACTTACAACTACCGTTGAGAAAATACGGACATGGAATCATTTCCTTGTGTGTTGGATTGAGAAAGAAAACTCGAACCTGGAATTAATAATCAAATTTAAAAGCAAAAAAATAAAAATAAATTACAAGTTAGAGTATATGACAATTTTATAATTAATATCATTAACTTGCCTTAATGTCATGAACATCTTTAATTGCTTCATTACTGTCTTTATGAACAGAACATACCATAGCATTGTGATAACCGATACCACCCCAAGTACTGCCATAAGGAGCTTTACATTTCGTACCCTCTAGCTCTTTTAATTCATCCTAAAAGGTCAACTTGCACCGTATAATTGTGTCACTGCTATGACAGAAAATAGTTGTATACTGACTTCAATGCTACCAGAAGCAGCTACAGCGGTGTTGTCCTGTTTATCTTTACTGTCGCTTGAAGATTTTTCTAGCTCTGCCTAATGGATTTAAGCAACATTTAATAATGTATCAAAACTGTTTTAATAATATAACTTTACATACCAAATGTTATATATACATTCATAATGTTTGAAAACTGTAAAAATATGCTGTAACAAAATCTGCATATGGTAAAATACACCTTATATTGTTCTACTTTAAATGATTTATTTATTTTTAATAATTTATTTATTTTAAGTAATAAAAAAAATACAGGTAGTAGAACAGCTTAGTCTTCTAAAAAGATTTAACAATTATTTTTCAAATAGACCTTGAAAAAAATATATTCTCTGTCCAATAGATCCTTCGTTTTATCATCAGGATTATCGTCTTCATTTGTGTTTTCTGCATCTTCTTCAAGACTTTGCAAACTTTCCTTCGTTAAGAAAATAAGTTCTTTAATGTCACACTTCAAACTGAGCAAGTTGTCTCTGTGAGAACCTTCTGGCGTTGTAGATAGTGTTGCATCCACTTGCGACAGCTGCAAAAGTAAATAAAATGCACTAAATAAGAATAATTGTAATGAATTATATAAATAATATTTCTTACAAATTTAAATTCAACATTTTTTATTAGTTTATTAAAAAACGAAATGAATTTTTTCCTACATTTGTTACTTTAAAACTTTATACACAAATTATTTAAAAAATTCTATGAAAATATATTTGACCTAATATATGCTTACTACTCATGTGATTACATATTACAGATAAAAAAATTTTGAAAAAAAAGGAAAAGGAGGATTTGAACTTTGAATCTCCAGCTTTCTGATCTCGCACCTTATTAATTCAATCATACCGACTTTTTGTAAATTAAATTTATGAAGGAGAATGTAATGCATGAAAATTGCGCATGAAAAATTGCTTGACCCTCCAGAAGGTCAAGATAATCAACTTTTTCCATCGCTCGTTATTCATTAAAAAGTTATTAATGAAAACGTTTTTGTGACTAGGACACTTTTTCAACACAACATACACATTTTAACATAAAGAATGTATTACATTTATTCATTGTTATATTTTATTTATTATTATTATATTTTTATTTATTATTACATTTTATTCATTATTTGATGATATATCATTTAATTAAATATAAAGAAGCTATTAATTTGAAATTGAGATATTCTCTCATTGAAAGCTGTATATGTATACATAGCGCTTTAAAAACAATTCACTACTTTAAAAATAACAATTCACTGCTTAAAAATTAATTTACTGCTTTAAAAATGATTAGCAGTAAATTTGTGTTTTTAAAACAGTGAATTGTTTTTAAAGCACTATGTATATATACATTGCAGCGAGTCGAAATGACAGGTATACTGTACAACGAAGCAAGAGCTTTTTTTATATAGTAAAAAAGACATCAGTTTTCAAACTTTTTTGTTAATAACTTTTTAATAAATAACGAGCGACAAAGAAGGTCAACGACCTTGACCTTCTTGAGGATCACTCCTACTTTTAAAAGATTACTATATTTTTTGAATTTCTGTGAATTTGGTAATTTTTATATATAAAAGCTACAAGAGCTGAGAAAGATGAAATTACTGTATGGAGAGAGAAATTAGATTTATTTGTTGAAGGAAAAGAGTTTTAGAATAAGATACATATCACAAAGAAGTTTCATATCGCTTTGTTTATTTAATTAATTTATGATATTCATCGTTTTATATTAATCATTTCTGATGTATTTCTTTTTAACTAAAAAAGAATCTTTATTTAAAAGTTTTATTCAATCCCAATCAAATTTGTGATGCGAAATGTACTGTTCAGACATGATAGATGGAAAACAACTTTTTTAAATTAATATTAGATCTGGTTTTGTACTCTAGTCTTTAATTGTCTCTTGGTTTCTCCCATACTGTATCGCAATCTGAAGAATTAATTCAATCTACAACGTCACATTGTAACATTTTTTCCAAAAAATATTTTATGTAACTATAAAACCTTTTAATATATGTAAGATATTGTATATACCAAATGTCAATCAACTTTTTTGACAATCAAAGAAAATTTCTGACACAAAATTAATATAGAACATTATAAAGTTTTTTTTTTACATTTGAATTATGATTTCATGTTTTTTTAATCAGAAAAAATTACTTGTATTCCTGTAGGCTTGAGAACGGCACAATTTTACCATGACAATAATGGCAATTTTCATCAGAAAACTTACAACTACCGTTGAGAAAATACGGACATGGAATCATTTCCTTGTGTGTTGGATTGAGAAAGAAAACTCGAACCTGGAATTAATAATCAAATTTAAAAGCAAAAAAATAAAAATAAATTACAAGTTAGAGTATATGACAATTTTATAATTAATATCATTAACTTGCCTTAATGTCATGAACATCTTTAATTGCTTCATTACTGTCTTTATGAACAGAACATACCATAGCATTGTGATAACCGATACCACCCCAAGTACTGCCATAAGGAGCTTTACATTTCGTACCCTCTAGCTCTTTTAATTCATCCTAAAAGGTCAACTTGCACCGTATAATTGTGTCACTGCTATGACAGAAAATAGTTGTATACTGACTTCAATGCTACCAGAAGCAGCTACAGCGGTGTTGTCCTGTTTATCTTTACTGTCGCTTGAAGATTTTTCTAGCTCTGCCTAATGGATTTAAGCAACATTTAATAATGTATCAAAACTGTTTTAATAATATAACTTTACATACCAAATGTTATATATACATTCATAATGTTTGAAAACTGTAAAAATATGCTGTAACAAAATCTGCATATGGTAAAATACACCTTATATTGTTCTACTTTAAATGATTTATTTATTTTTAATAATTTATTTATTTTAAGTAATAAAAAAAATACAGGTAGTAGAACAGCTTAGTCTTCTAAAAAGATTTAACAATTATTTTTCAAATAGACCTTGAAAAAAATATATTCTCTGTCCAATAGATCCTTCGTTTTATCATCAGGATTATCGTCTTCATTTGTGTTTTCTGCATCTTCTTCAAGACTTTGCAAACTTTCCTTCGTTAAGAAAATAAGTTCTTTAATGTCACACTTCAAACTGAGCAAGTTGTCTCTGTGAGAACCTTCTGGCGTTGTAGATAGTGTTGCATCCACTTGCGACAGCTGCAAAAGTAAATAAAATGCACTAAATAAGAATAATTGTAATGAATTATATAAATAATATTTCTTACAAATTTAAATTCAACATTTTTTATTAGTTTATTAAAAAACGAAATGAATTTTTTCCTACATTTGTTACTTTAAAACTTTATACACAAATTATTTAAAAAATTCTATGAAAATATATTTGACCTAATATATGCTTACTACTCATGTGATTACATATTACAGATAAAAAAATTTTGAAAAAAAAGGAAAAGGAGGATTTGAACTTTGAATCTCCAGCTTTCTGATCTCGCACCTTATTAATTCAATCATACCGACTTTTTGTAAATTAAATTTATGAAGGAGAATGTAATGCATGAAAATTGCGCATGAAAAATTGCTTGACCCTCCAGAAGGTCAAGATAATCAACTTTTTCCATCGCTCGTTATTCATTAAAAAGTTATTAATGAAAACGTTTTTGTGACTAGGACACTTTTTCAACACAACATACACATTTTAACATAAAGAATGTATTACATTTATTCATTGTTATATTTTATTTATTATTATTATATTTTTATTTATTATTACATTTTATTCATTATTTGATGATATATCATTTAATTAAATATAAAGAAGCTATTAATTTGAAATTGAGATATTCTCTCATTGAAAGCTGTATATGTATACATAGCGCTTTAAAAACAATTCACTACTTTAAAAATAACAATTCACTGCTTAAAAATTAATTTACTGCTTTAAAAATGATTAGCAGTAAATTTGTGTTTTTAAAACAGTGAATTGTTTTTAAAGCACTATGTATATATACATTGCAGCGAGTCGAAATGACAGGTATACTGTACAACGAAGCAAGAGCTTTTTTTATATAGTAAAAAAGACATCAGTTTTCAAACTTTTTTGTTAATAACTTTTTAATAAATAACGAGCGACAAAGAAGGTCAACGACCTTGACCTTCTTGAGGATCACTCCTACTTTTAAAAGATTACTATATTTTTTGAATTTCTGTGAATTTGGTAATTTTTATATATAAAAGCTACAAGAGCTGAGAAAGATGAAATTACTGTATGGAGAGAGAAATTAGATTTATTTGTTGAAGGAAAAGAGTTTTAGAATAAGATACATATCACAAAGAAGTTTCATATCGCTTTGTTTATTTAATTAATTTATGATATTCATCGTTTTATATTAATCATTTCTGATGTATTTCTTTTTAACTAAAAAAGAATCTTTATTTAAAAGTTTTATTCAATCCCAATCAAATTTGTGATGCGAAATGTACTGTTCAGACATGATAGATGGAAAACAACTTTTTTAAATTAATATTAGATCTGGTTTTGTACTCTAGTCTTTAATTGTCTCTTGGTTTCTCCCATACTGTATCGCAATCTGAAGAATTAATTCAATCTACAACGTCACATTGTAACATTTTTTCCAAAAAATATTTTATGTAACTATAAAACCTTTTAATATATGTAAGATATTGTATATACCAAATGTCAATCAACTTTTTTGACAATCAAAGAAAATTTCTGACACAAAATTAATATAGAACATTATAAAGTTTTTTTTTTACATTTGAATTATGATTTCATGTTATTCTGATTATAAATTAGATTTTTTAATGTATTGTATCATTGAAAAATAAAATTGTAAGAGATAATTTGTATATATATATATATATATATATATATATATATATATAAGAAAAATTTGAGTCATAGGAGCTATAAACACTCTATATACCAACATATAGTGTTTATAGCTCCTATATGACTATTTGACATTATATAATGCAATACCATAACTTAATCCAATACTATAAAGATTAAGTTAGTTTAAGATCTGTTTTATACATGTATACTACTTTATAATACACTAATATTTTATGTTTAAAATCATATTATGGAAAAAATAAAAAATATATAAACAAAATTAATTAAGGAACTTACAATATATAAAATGATATATTACTAATAACGAAGCTATTCAAATAATTAAGAAGTAATGGCTAAACGATCAAGCTGCATCTTTAATGTTAAAAACAGTTCCATGTAAATTTATATACATAATGCTTTTTTTATAATAAAAATCTTATCAGCATTAATAATAAAGTGCGATAGTTAATTTTTCCAAGAAATGAGGATGCGTATCTTTAACAAACTTGTGTACTAATTTCTAATATTATACCTGGGTTTCATATTGCTCGATAGCTTCCTTTAAACTTCTTGCGTCTGTCATACTTAGAACGTTACATACAAAAAGTCAATTGCAACTTGCGACAATTTAATATAGCATTAACTTGTGTGAAATCCAATTTTTTGATACAAAATCTTGTACCACAGTATATACTGTGTTTGTACTGCAGTTTAGTTTATTATTTAAGGCCTCTCTTTCACCAACTCCAATTAATGATGATCGACGGTTAATGTTAATCTTTGAGTATATACTCAAAGAGGTTAACACCATATATGATCTAACTGACTCAAGACGTCAACCCAACACCACAATAGCGCAACACTTTATCGGCACCTTTGATGTTAGTGCAATGATGATGTATGTATGTATGTACGCTGATATGAACCAATGGTGTATCGCCTAGTCGCCTCAAGATAGATTTTCGCGAGTTGCTCTAATTTGTCGTTTCAGGGTTAAGGACGCAGCACACACTTTGCATGACGCTATGCATGATGCGTACAGCCCATTCTACAATAGGTAGTAGCAGTAATGGATTAAGGAATAGCGTAGAAATCAATAAATCACAGTCGAATATGAGGAGGATAATTAACTATCATTGGTCGATTTCTACGCCTACTCCTTAATCCAGTACTGCTACTGCCCGTTGTAGAATGGGCTTAAGAGAATCAACAAATCATAATCCTTCTTTTCCTCTCACTTCACGGAAGAGAAGCATTTTGATTGGTTGATTCTCTTATTATGCATCATGCAAAAGTGTATGCTGCGGCCTTTCGAGAAGTGAAGAAGTTGACAATAACCAGCACCACTTTGCCGAACGGGTTGATATTAATCAGCGCCGACTGATATACTATAAAAATAATAGTAAGAAAAAGTATAGTTGAAAGTATAGAAATATTTTCTATCAACATTAAAATTTTCCGTCATGTTTATAGAAATATGTGGTTCTATCCACCACCTTATATTTCACGTTTTTTTCTTAAATATAATCTTTCCATTCAGTTCAAAAAAGATTACGGAGTCTAAGTTTTTTTTATATGTCAAAGTCTTGGTTTAGAATCAGCTTTATATCCTAGCTAGAGAAAGTGGATGAATATTTGACATATGTATATTCTTCATTTTCATGCAAGAAAACAGATGCAATACTTCATATTATAATTGAGCGTAATAAAAGTAGTTCTTAATTTATTGTCGATACTACAAGAAAAACGAAGTAATAAATACTACTGTCACAATATTTTATGTAAATTAGGTATATAATTTGTATAAGTGCTTACAAGTATATAAAACTAAAAATAAATAATAGTGCAGCAATTATAATGTTTAGTCTTAACTTACAGATGGATTAAAAAACTGATTTATAAATTCAAATACAATTAACTATATAATTAACTATATTGATAAAAACATACTGGTTTCATTAATTACAAAGGAAAATGATATAATTAGATCTGGGATTTCAGATTTGAAAAAATATTTTATATATTTGATATTAAAGACAACAGTATACTGTACTAAAGCTATATAAAAATGCTAATGCTTCAAATCTGTTTAATTTCGCCGCTGCAATGTGGACAACATGTCATGTTGCTCACATCACTTTGTGGAAGAAACATTTGTCCGCCAACCGCGACCGCTGCCCCCATTACCGCAGTACAAGCAACATCTCTCTCAGTCATGGGTAACTTTTTACTTAGTAACTGCAATTGAGATATTAAACTCATATCAAAATGTCATGTTTCATTATCAGGAATAAAAAAATCAAACTTTACTTTTTCTGCGTTGTTTTCTGCAAGCGTTTTCATATTTAAACCAGTTATATTTAGCTCTCTCTGTAATTCTGAGTCTGGTATACCACTCAGGAGACTGACTCTGAGAATTTCTACAAGTTGATAACATCCCTGTGCAAGATCAACAATATTACTGCTAATTAATTCGTGTTTTTTACCGAATGTTGTTCCTATGGAATCAAATTTCTCTCGTAGAATTGTCAGCATTCTGGATAAATAAAATTTGCAATTTGATAAAACTATATGAATACTGAAAAAGTATAGCACCTGCAATATATACCTATAAGTTTTGAGCGACGTATCACGAATACCGTTATGTTCCTCTAATAATCGTTTTATAGTTTCCTGCAATTCTGTTGTTCTCTGGCAAAGTGCAGCTTTCCATCTTGCCAAATCCTCCACCATTAAACTGTAATAAGTTTAGCTTGAGTAATAAATTATAGCTTTTGTTATTACTATTTTTTAATTCAAGTTTTGAAACAATGTAATAGAAACAAGAAACAATGTAACAGATCAGATGCAAACCAAAGTAAAAACTAAAAATTCCAAACATATTGGAAATGCCAATTACCTACTAGCTAAAAATTTACTTCTCCAAACTTCACATTGACCTGCTAGCCATTCTATTTGTTCTTGATGTGTAGACAAATGTTTGGCTGAATTCAAGAGGGCTCTTGCAAGTTGCAATTTGTCCTCAGTTAACAGATGAACTCTAGTTTCTAGATCCTCTCCTACTGCGGCAACTAATAAATTCTTTAATTCTCCATTGACCTGTGTGCATATATATGTATATTTTAGTATAAATTATAATAAATTTTAACTTGTAATTTATTATTGCATGTCTCATACAGGAGCTACCGAAAGTGTAGGAACCTCTTAAGACTCCTGAGTACTCAGAGAATTCCGTGTTGACGGTGGCGATACTGAATTAGATCTGGCAAAACTGGTAGTCACACACATAAGTACAAGTTCATGTCCATGCTCATTTTCGGGCCGAAGGTGAGCACACATGGGCTTATGCTTGTGTTATAGCATAGCGCCTCGCCATGGTAATACGCGTGGAAAAGTGACGTTTTGACGACAAAATTTTTCTTGCATGCTATTTCATTAATATTTATTTATTTGTGAAAATGTGACTTGCCTCATACTCATAAAAGCCCTAAAAATGGGCGAAAACTACAGTTATTTTGAAATTTTATATGTAAAAGCGTATATTTCATTCGTTTCATCAGATGTTAAACTGTGTTTCTGCATAAGTAATATACATAGGCTCACTTTACATGTTTTTTACGACCATTTACTGATTATCACAGGAGCAAGGGACAGTTTCCGCCCATTTTAACAAGTGTTTTTAAGCAATCTCGTCATTTACATTTATTTAAACTGTCTTTACTTACAAATGGCACGCAAGAAAAATTAATGTGCATTTCTCGCCTATGACGTCACAATTCCAACATGGCCGTCGCGACTACTCAGGATACTTAATATTTTAGAATCTGAGCATTTTTGAGAAAAATGAGTTTTTTAGACAAAAGTTGCAAGATTTAAAAAAAATTTATTTAAACATCTTATCATCAGATCAAGATCACATCAATTTTTTAATAGAACACCCTATTTTTTATTCCAAAATTTTTTTTCTAATAGCGAATCTCAAGAACTTTCTAAAACGATGCAATAAAGTTCATTTTCATTAAGTACATTTCGAGTTGTAAGGCTTGAAAATTACAGTACCACAATGCAGATTAACTTTAATCTCGGTTTAACTTACTGTTCATCTTTTTCTAATTCTAAAAATTAGAAAAAGATGAACAGTAAGTTAAACCGAGATTAAAGTTAATCTGCATTGGTAGAAACAGGCATTAGTAAAGTAAGTATACTTCCTGTTTCAATTACACAAATTCTCTGCTTTAAAAATACAAATTCTCAGCTTTAAAAAAATTAATTCTTTGCTCTAAAAACAAATTCTCTACTTTTAAAAATAAAAATTATATAGAAAATAATGTATTTTTAAAGCAGAAAATTAGTATTTTTAAGGAGAATTTATGTAACCCTATAGGCCATTCACATGACAGATTTCATAATCTGTAAATATCAGCTTTAACAATTAATATTTTAGTTTGCAGAACAGATCAACACTTTTTTGCCAGATTTGCTCATTTCACGCAAAAATGCATCGAATAAGACTAATTTTATCAAAATCAACAATTATACTTATAATTGTTGAAAACTTAAAATAAACTCAATAATTAGTAAATCTTATAAAAACATTAATAATGTGAAAACATTAATATACATTGTTATACCTGTGCTTGAAATTTCAATTGAGTTTCAAGTTGACCATTTTCTTCTTTCAATTTGCGAATCTCAGACTCATATGTTCTTTTTTCATTATTCCACTCATCTTCTGTTTTCTCTTTGTCTTCTTTCATATAATCCTTTAACATTGTGTCATTATCCTGGATCTTTAGTGCAGCAATCTGTGCAACTGTAGCATTCAAACTAGATTTTTTTTTAAATAATTTTTTCTTTTTTTCAAATGGCACTATTGGATTTACAGCTGCCTTATACGGTTCATATGGTATAAATTTTGGTTCTTTTGATTTTAAAGAATGTAAAATATGCTTCTCTTGTTTTATATTACTAATATTTTTTGGTACTAAGTTTACTATTGTACCAATAGGAGTGACTGGAGCTGTTGATCCTAATTGCTTCAAATTTGTAGGATGGTAAATGAGAGTGTCTCCTAGACGACTTCGATTTTGCCTAATTTCGATTTTATCTACCGTTGCATTTTCCATGCCATCTCCTTGTGTTCGTTCTATGTGACCCATCATATGAACATCTTTAAAGATTATTAATCAAGATATAAAAAAATGTATCTATATGCTGTTATAACATGTAATTAAAATATATTTTTAATTTCTGTCATTGTGTGTTTAAGTTAACAACATAAATATTTAAAGTCAACAATCATTATTTACAATGATCCAGTTTCCACTGAAATCTTCATTCCTCGATTGTACTTCAGTGCAGATTAAATTTATAACATTGATGTTTCTCTCCATTGGGTACAGAGATTTTGTCAATTGAAGCAACAGTAAAATTAGCGCAAACGCATTCCCACTGACTTAAATTTGATTCTACATCGCATTACAAATTCTTCGGTGGAAAATAAATCAATGACACACACACTTCGTATTTGAACAAAACTAACCTGGTTGACAGTGAATGTTGTGTTTCTTGATATTTGTAAAAGTATTCATGTTCGGCAGTATAAACAGTATCGCAGATATTTTATAATTATGTCATGTGGTCAATATTTATAATTTAAGACGAATAGTATAACGTCTAAAACAATTCAAATGCATTCTTCATCTCTCGATAATACCTGCACGAGTTACGAGTTACAAAAAAAGAGGTTAGTACCAGGAAGTACAAACACTACAATTACTTGGGGGACTTGGGGTGTGGCGTTGCAGGCGTTACTCAAATCTGTTCTTTTTTCGTTTTCGCTGTCTACACTGAAAAAAATGCATGTAATTTTACATGGAAATTACATGTTTATAACCGGAAAATTAGCTAAATTTGACTGGAAATTTCCTCTCTT